TGTAATATTCTCTGATGATGGTCTGAATTTCTGTGGAGTCTGTGGTGATTTCTCCTTTATCATTTTTTATTGCATCTATTTGGTTGTTCTCTCTTTCTTTTTTATCAGTCTGGCTAGCGGTCTGTCTATTTTGTTGATCTTTTCAAAAACCAGCTCTTGGATTTATTGATTTTTTGAAGGGTTTTTCATGTCTCTATCTCCTTCAGTTCTGCTCTGATCTTAGTTATTTCTTGTCTTCTGCTCGGTTTTGAGTTTTTTGATCTTGCTCCTCTAGCTCTTTCAATTTTGACGATAGGGTGTCAATTTTAGATTTCTCTACTCTTCTCATATGGGCACTTATTGCTATATATTTTCCTCTAGAGACTGCTTTAAATGTGTCCCAGAGGTTCTGGCATGTTGTGTCTTCGTTCTCATTGGTTTCAAAGAACTTCTTTATTTCTGTCTTCATTTCATTGTTTACCCAGTCAACATTCAAGAGCCAGTTGTTCAGTTTCCATGAAGCTGTGCAGTTCTGGGTCGGTTTCTGAATTCTGAGTTCTAACTTGATTGCACTATGGTCTGAGAGGCTGTTTGTTATGATTTCAGTTGTTTTGCATTTGTTGAGCAGTGCTTTACTTCCAATTATGTGGTCAATTTTAGAGTAGGTGTGATGTGGTGCTGAGAAGAATGTGTATTCTGTGGATTTGGGGTCGAGAGTTCTGTAAATGTCTATCAGGTTTGCTTGTTCCAGGTCTGAGTTCAAGCCCTGGATATCCTTGTTAATTTTCTGTCTGGTTGATCTGTCTAATATTGACAGTGGAGTGTTAAAGTCTCCCACTATTATTGTGTGGGAGTCTAAGTCTCTTTGTAAGTCTTTAAGAACTTGCCTTATATATCTGGGTGCTCCTGTATTGGGTCCATATATATTTAGGATCATTAGCTCTTCTTGTTGTATCGATCCTTTTACCATTATGTAATGTCCTTGTTTGTCTCTTTTGATCTTGGTTGCTTTAAAGTCTATTTTATCAGAGATGAGAATTGCAACTCCTGGGTTTTTTTTGCTCTCCATTTGCTTGGTAAATCTTCCTCCATTCCTTTATTTTGAGCCTTTGTGTATCCTTGCATGTGAGATGGGTTTCCTGGATACAGTACACTGATGGATTTTGATTTTTTATCCAGTTTGCCAGTCTGTGTCTTTTGATTGGTGCATTTAGTCCATTTACATTTAGGGTTAGTATTGTTGTGTGTGAATTTGATACTGCCATTTTGATGCTAGCTGGCTGCTTTGCCCATTAGTTGATGTAGATTCTTCATTATATTGATGCTCTTTAGCATTTAGTGTGTTTTTGGAATTGCTGGTACTGGTTGTTTCTTTCTATGTGTAGTGCCTCTTTCAGGAGCTCTTGTAAAGCAGGCCTGGTGGTGACAAAATCTCTGCATACTTGCTTGTTTGCAAAGGATTTTATTTTTCCTTCACTTACGAAGCTCAGTTTGGCTGGATATGCAGTTCTGGGTTGAAAGTTCTTTTCTTTAAGGATTTTGAATATTGGCCCCCACTCTCTTCTTTCTTGTAGAGTTTCTGCCAAGAGATCTGCTGTGAGTCTGGTGGGCTTCCCTTTGTGGTGACCCGACCTTTCTCTCTGGCTGCCTTTAGTATTTTCTCCTTCATTGCATCCTTGGTGAATCTGACAATTATGTGCCTTCAGGTTGCTCTTTTTGCGGTGTATCTTTGTGGTGTTCTCTGTATTTCCTGGATTTGATCATTGGCCTGCCTTGCTAAGTTGAGGAAATTTTCCTGGATAATATCCTGAAGAGTATTTTCCAGCTTGAATTCGTTCTCTTCCTCCCCTTCTGGTACACCTATCAAATGTAGGTTAGGTCTCTTTACATAGTCCCACATTTCTTGGAGACTCTGTTCATTCCTTTTTGCATTTTTTTCGCTAATATTGGTTTCTCATTTTATTTCACGGAGTTGATCTTCGACTTCGGATAGTCTTTCTTCTGATTGGTCAATTCGGCTGTTGAAACTTGTGCATGCTTTGCAACGTTCTCGTGTTGTGTTTTTCAGCTCTTTCAATTCATTCATATTCCTCTCTAAGTTATCATTCTTGTTATCATTTCCTCGAATCTTTTTTCAAGGTTCTTAGTTTCTTTGCATTGATTTAGCACATGTTCTTTTAGCTCACAGAAGTTTCTCATTACCCACCCTCTGAAGTCTGATTCCATCATTTTGTTACAGTCCTTCTCCGTCCAGCTTTGTTCCCTTGCTGGTGAGGAGTTTTGATCCTTTGTAGGAGGTGAGCTGTTCTGGTTTCGGGTGTTTTCCTCCTTTTTGCACTGGTTTCTTCCCATCTTTGTGGATTTATCCACCTGTCGTCTGCGTAGTTGCTGACTTTTCAGTTGGGTCTCTGAGTGGATGCCCAGATTGTTGATGATGAGGTATTTCTGTTACTTGGTTTTCCTTCTACCAGTCTAGCCCCTCTGCTGTACGACTGCTGAGGTCCACTCCAGGCCCTGCTTGTCTGGGGTACACCTGTAGCAGCTGCAGAGCGGTGAGGGATGCTACCAGTTTCATCTTCTGCTACCTTTGTCCCAGAATGATGCCTGCCTAATGTCAGTCTGATCAGTCCTTTTTGAGGTGACTCTGGATATACAGGGGTCAGGGAGCTGCTTGAGGAGATGGTCTGTACTTTATAGGAGCTCAAGTGCTGAGCTGTGAGCTCCGTTGTTCATTCAGAGCTGTTAGGCAGGTGCATTTAAGTCTGCCGCAGCAGAACTCATAAAGCCCCTTTTTTTCCTCAGATGCTCTGTTTTGGGAGGTTGGGGCTTTCTTTTTGAGTGTTCGTTGCACTATCCTGCCCAGCTAGGAGGCAGTCTAGTCACTATTTGCCTGCCGAGGCTCCGCCCTGCTGATGTGGTGATGGCCCTGTTGCTGCGGGCTCTGCCCTGCAGTCATGGGCTCTACCACAGGCTCCGCCCTGCTGCCACTGGCTCTGCCCTGCAGTGGAGTCTCTCTGTTATGGCGGGTTGCCTCGGCAATGGCAGGCTGTGTCAACAATGGGAGTGTACCTCAGTAGGGGCGGATTGCCTCAGTAATGGCGAACTCCCCTCCCCCACTGAGCTGCACCGTCCTGGGTTCAGCTGTGCCTGCAGTGAAACTCTCCACCTGGAGCGTTTCATATTATCATTTTGTTTGTCCCTGTGGGGGTGAAACACACTGAGCCCGCTCGCCTGGCTCCCTGCCTCAGAGCGCCTTTCTTTTTTTTTTAAGTTGAACAGATGGCTCTCTCCCAGATGTTTCAGTCGCCCGCTGTTAGAGCACTGGGATCTGTGTGATTTCCCATGCAGCTAGCCACTGCGCTCGCTCAAACACCACTTCCCAGGAATCTCCTTGTGTGGCTCACTGTCCAAGTCCCGTTTAATCAGATGGCTATGCTAATCTGCCCTCCAAAATCTCAGATTGCCAGTTTAGCAGGGCACCTGGGCCAGTGTGTTTTGTGTGGATTGTTGCAGAGTGCCGCTGTGCTGCGGTGCCGGCCGAAGCGGTCGCAACAGCCGAAACGGCTGTGCTTGCGTCCCATGTCTTTCCTATACCTGGGAATTTCCCCATTCTGTGGGCAACAAAGATCTGTCTGGAAATGCAGCTTTGACTCACCCTCTGAGTGTTCACTGAGAGCTGTGATCCTGAGTTGCTCTTACTGCGCCATCTTGAATCCTCTCCTCATGTGCCAAATTTTCTTTATCCAGTCTATTATTGATGGGCATTTGGGTTGGTTCTATGTCTTTGCTATTGTAAACTGTGCCACAGTGAACATACGTGTGCATGTGTCTTTATAATAGAACTATTTATAATCTGTTGGGTATATACCCAGTAACGAGATTGCTGGGTCAAATGGCATTTCTATTTCTAAATCCTTGAGGAATCACCACACTGTCTTTCACAATGTTTGAACTAATTTACACTCCCACCAACAGTGTAAAAGCCTTCCTATTTTTCCATATCCTCTGATACTGTCTTTCTTAGGAAACTACTTGAGAGGGCACCTCAGCAAAATGAGGGAATAAATCAAGAAAGTGGAAGACATAATACCTGAAACCGTGAATCCAACACTAAAAAGTGGTGTCAGATAAACCCAGCACCATAGGTCTGCACCAGGCTTGAAGTAACCAGCCCAAATTCGAGCAGAAGAAATAAAAAAAAAAGTGTGTGTGTGTGTGTGTGTGTGTGTGTGTGTGTGTGTATGTGAATATGGTGGAACATCTTCAGAGGAAGCAAAAGAACTAACAAGCTATCTGATGTCCTTGAACGTTAGTAAACATCATTGTGAGATGTTCGTAGATCTTTTGGAACATTCAACGTTTACTAGGTATATAGAATACTAGCCACATTTTAAAAAAAGAGTTATTAATTCTAAGAAAGCCAAAAAGTTTCTGTGATCCAAATATGTTACTTGACTTTTCAATTAATACAATTTACAAACTCCATTAAACGTCAGCTAATTTAACCAAAAATAGAGATGCTATAATGTAAACGTGGTATGGAAAAGTTGCGAAGAGGTTGTAAAACAACTAAATCCCTAACTACACAAGAGAAAAATCAATATTTACTGTCTAAGTCTAGACACTGCAATTTGAGTATAATAATCTAGTGATAAGAAGTTGGATACCATAAGAGGTTATTAAACAATTATGAAGTGGCTACGTCCTGGAGAACAGCCTGCATGAGGAAATGTGGGACATAATTCCTTTTCAAGCCTTTTCATGTTCTTTCATTTTTGTCTTTTTTAACTAAGTGCTGTTTAACAAAATAAACTTAAATTTTTAAATGTGAAAGTTAAACCTTAAGGCTCTTCGTAATTTTAAAATCCATGTCTCAATTAAGTACTCTGTGTTGATAGTCTATACATGTATTGTCTAGTAACAAAATATGTGATTCATCAGAATATCTTAAAGGAGCTTTATCTTAATGAGCTTTAGGTATAGCTAATTTTCTTTCTGTTTTCTCATCTTTTTATTTTTAGGGTGATTCTGGGGGACCTTTAGTCACAAGAGATCTGAAAGATACCTGGTATCTCATTGGAATTGTGAGCTGGGGAGATAACTGTGGTCAAAAGGACAAGCCTGGAGTCTACACACAAGTGACTTATTACCGAAACTGGATTGCTTCAAAAACAGGCCTCTAATTCACCATAAACGTTAAAACAAGGAGAGCTGTATGCAGGTCATATATGCATGAGAATCCAACTATTTAGTGGGTGTGGTACAGCAAAGTGATATTAAATTACTGGATCTGGCAACATGAAACACAACATAACTTATTTAGAATCACTTTAATCAACCAATAATCCTTAGCCAATTTATAAGGGACTTTTATTTGTAAAGTAATGGATCTTAAGCCTGGGTTGAAAAATACAGTAGAGATAATTAGCTCTTTAAATCACAAACGTTGAAGTACAAATGAGACTCAATACAAATTTTTGAAGATAGGCCATGAGATTTTTAGAATGTCTTTGTCAAGGGTCTCCTTTTAACAGGGAAACTTTTTGAACAGACAGAGTTCATTCAGGAAACATTTGCATAATTCCCTACATTTCTCTAGACCTCACAAATACTTTTTTTTCCTTATGCAAAGCACTTTTCCATCATAAGAAACGAATTTTCTACTTCTAAACCCATTTGAGGGATACCAGTAAAAGAAAGTCATATGTAGGAAATGAAGTCTGATTGTAAAACAAGCCAGAGATACTGTAACCTTTTTTTAGTTATAAAATCTCTAATTTTTTGGTGACTTTTCTACACATGTGCGTGCACACACACGAACACACACATAGATCTTTCTATCCTACAGATACAACCAGAAAAATCCTGATTAATAAATAGTATATTAGTGATTAGTTCATCAAAACTATGTATTTGTTAAAAATTTGGGGGAAGGTGATGGTAATTTCATGAGTTGTCTCAAAACACTACTCAGTGAATTAGCCATTTCATTGATGCACTTACATATTTTTACCACAAGGGGGAAATTTTGTACATTACTTTGTATGGTTAAATACCTGAAAAAATTGATAATTTACTAATACCTTCAAAAAATCAAAGAACATTGCCTTCCTCTGTAGCAAGAAAAAATTTATGCCCTTGTATTGCTACAGTCAAATAGCTTATAAAGCTTATGGCAATGTCCCAAGTATTGCAACCATAAAACCCTAGTTTTTGAAAAATTTGAAAACATCAAATTTGAGTACCTACTACATATAACACATGAACAAGGTAGTCCAAAAGAGAAAACATCCTCCATAAGCAATGTGTATCATGAAGTAATTAGAAGAGCTCATGTATTTTGTAATACAATTAAATACATTTATTTTGTAATAAATTAAATTCCATATTCTGTGGAAGCATCTATTCTGCTTCCACAGAATATGGAATGCCTGTGAAACATTATGGTCTGCAGGCTGAGGAGTCATTTACTCATGTAGTCAAAATATAAAACAAATCATTGGAACAATGAGTTTACTTTATAATAACTTCCCTCACGCGCAATTGAGAGGTATGAAAATAATCCTAAGATATCTAAAAGAGATATGCAGTTCATTCATAAAACATTTGATTCATAATTTAGACTCATAGAGTTTTAGAGCTTAGAAGAGATTGCACATCACATAGGCTAATACACTTGTTAAGTGTAAGAGAACTGAAGCCAAAAAACATAAATGACTCAGTGAAGCAGTAGGTTGACTTGCATCACCATTGGGCCTAGAACACAGGTACCAATTTCATCTTCCCTTTTTCTTACCAAGTATCTTTATTATCCCCTATATTTATTGAATCATCAGATCTATAAAATTTTAAGTGAGATCTATAAAATCTGCCTTAAGGTAGAAAACTCTTAAGGTAAGAATTTTAAATGACGAGATTCATTTAGGCAGCTGGCTGCCGATTCTCTGAATTCACTTCAAGACAAAGTTTCTTCTTCATATATAATATACATAAGCATATAAGTTATTCTATATCATGGGTGGTAAAATTTAATGCTGACTTTAGATGTTCCGATTCAGGAAATGATCTTAGAATTATAAATACTGTATTTTTAAACTATTTGGTGCAGCATTTCATTTTGGGTCACATGTAAGCAGATATTGATATGTCATTTTTAATCTAATAAAGTTGGTGATCAGAGCATTCGACAAACAATATCACTGAGTTTGTTTTAGGCCAATATCATGAATTTTTCAACTGTTGTTAAAAATCACATTTCTTTTAAATAGTAGTTTGGATCATGCTGAAGCTGAGTTCACAAACTTGGCACTATTAATATTTTGGCCTGGATAATGTTTTATTGTAAGGGGTTATCCTGGTCATTGTAGAATACTTAGCAGCATCCCACTAGATGCCTGTAGCATACCCCTTTTCCCAAATTATTGTAACCAAAGATATCTCCAGACATTGGCCAATGTCTGGAGATATTCAACCCTAAGGTATAAAACTGGCCCCTATTGAGAACCACTATTCTGGATTTATTTGATCATTTTTAGAAATGTGAGAGACTCCTCAAAATCATGACACCAAATATTAAGAAACTATAGTTTTCTGATCAAACTGAATATTCACTATCATGTTCCAAAAAGAAATAACAGAATACATGACTGGTGCTTCAGTCTGTGACTGTTTCAAATACAGACTGATCTCTCCACACATAGTGTGCTCAAAGAATTTCTTTATACTTCTGCCTAAACTAGAGGATAGTCGTAGAACACCATTAAATTTTTCCATGAAGATAGGGTTTTATGAAAAATACCCTCTAGCAGAGTTTCTTTAAAAACTCTGAGAAATTTCTAGATTGACCAGAATCCACAGTAGGAAATATGTTTCACATCACAGCTCCATACATAAACAACAAAATACATACAAAATTTGAAATAGAAGTTTCATAAAACAATACTTACCCTTACAAAATGTAATGCTTTTTATTTTATTGTACTCTTTGCTATTCAATGCTATTCCACTTTTAAAAAAACATTTACCCCATCAACTAAATTGATTTCACAATCTAATCAATCATGATTGGCATTTCCAATAAAATGTTCTCAAATAATCATTTACTATTATATTTTTTATTTGTATAAGTTTAAGAAATACAAAGTGCAGATCTGTTACATGGATACATTGTACAGTGGTGAAGGCTGGCATTTAGCATATTATTAACATCCATTTGGGGATGAGTGGAACAGGATAACAGAATAGAAGCCTCCACTGATTGTCCCTCTCCCCAAAAGACACCAATTTAACACTATCTAAAGAAAATGATCACCTTCATTAGAACAAAAAATAATGTAAGAACTCACAGTACCTGATTTTAACTTTATATCACTGAAAGAGGCACTGAAAACATAGAAAAACAGTCCTGAATCACTGACACCATGCCTTTCCCATGCCCTGGAAGCAGCAGTGTAGTGCAAAGAATATTTTGGCATGCTGAGTAAAGAGAAATGACAGTATTTTTGAGGCATTGAACTCAGTGCTGCCCTATTATAACAGAAAACAAACACAGACTCAACTCAGCTGACACCCACCCATGGAGGGAGCATGTAAACCAGCCCTAACCAGAGGAGAATCATCTATTCCAGTGGTCCAATATTGTGTTCCTGTGAGCCTCATCACCATGGGCTAAAGTGTTCACTTGACAGCCAAGCTAGGCAACAAAGATTGAAACACTTAGGTGAGTCCCAGTGCTGAACTGGGTCCAGAAAGAGTGGACTGGAGACAACATGTACTAAGACACCAGCTGAGAGAGTGCTTGCATCACCTCTCCCCTAAACCCAGGCTGCACAACTCACGGCCCCAAGAGACCCATTCTCTCCATTTGAGAAGAGAGGACAGAATAGTGAGGAGGACTCAAAATATTACAAACAATAGAGGAGAAGGAAATACTTTAAAACTCATTCTACAAGGGCAGAATTACCTTCATACCAAGAGCTAGACAAACACTAGCCAAAAAAAGGAAACTACAGGCCAATATCTCTGATGAATATTGATGCAAATATCTACAAAAATACTAGCAAACCAAATTCAACAATACATTAAAAGATTATTCATCATAATCAAATGGGATTTATCCCTGGGATGCAATGATGGTTCAACATATGCAACCAATTAATTTGATCCATTATATCAACAGAATGAAGAATAAAAACCATATGATCATTTCAACTGATGCTAAAAAATCATTTGATAAAATTTAACATCCCATCATAATAAAAATCAGCTAAAATCTGGGTATAGAGGGAACATACCTCAATATAATAAAATCCACATATAACAGACCCATAGCTAGAATCATACTGAATGAAGAAAAACTGAAAGTCTATTTTCTAAGATCAGAAACATGAGAAGGATGCACATTTTCGCCATTGTTATTTGAAACAGTATTGGAAGTACTGGCTAGAGCAATGAGATAGGAGAATAAAATAAAGGGCATCCAAATTAGAAGGGAGGAAGTCAAATTATTCTTGTTGGCAGATGATAAGATCTTATATTTGGAAAAACCTAAAGACTTCAACAAAAAACTGTAAGAACTGATCAACGAAATCAGTAAAGTTGCAGGATGCAAAAAATCAACATAAAAACAGTAGCATTTCTATATGCCAACAGTAAACAATATGAAAAAGAAATTAAAAACATAATTCCATTTACAGTAGCCACAAATAAAATTAAACAACTAGGAATTAACTGAACTGAAGAAGTGAATGATCTTTTTAATGAAATCTATAAAACACTTATAAAAGAAATTGAAGAGGTCACCAAAAAATGGAAAGATATTCCATGTTCATGGATTGGAAGGATCAATATTGTTAAAATGTTCAAATTATCCAAAGTAATCTATAGATTCAATGGAATCCCTATCAGAAGAGCAATGACATTCTTCCAAGAAATAAGAAAAACAATTCTAAAATTTACATGGAATTTCAAAAGGCCGGGAATAGTCAAAGCTACTCTAGCAATAAGAACAAAACTGGATCTTCTCAAATGGATAAGCAACTTCAGCAAAGTCTCAGGATACAAAATCAATGTGCAACAATCACTAGCATTCCTATATACCAATAACAGACAGAGGGCCAAATCAAGAGCAAACACCCATTCACAATTGCTACAAAGAGAATAAAATACCTCGGAATACAACTAACAAAGGATGTAAAGGACCTCTTCAAGGAGAACTACAAACCACTGCTCAACGAAATAAGAGAGGACACAAATGGAGAAACATTCCATGCTCATGGTTAGGAAGAATCAATATCGTGAAAATGGCCATACTGCCCAAAGTAATCTATAGATTCAATGCTATTCCCATCAAGCTACCAATGACCTTCTTCACAGAACTGGAAAAAAGCACTTTAAACTTCATACAGAATCACAAGAGACCCCACATAGCCAAGATAATCCTAAGAAAAAAGAACAAAGCCCGAGGCATCACACTGCCAGACTTCAAAGTGTACTACAAGGCTACAGTAATCAAAACAGCATGGTACTGGTGCCAAAACAGAGACATAGACCAATGGAACAGATCAGAGACCCCAGAAGAAACACCACACATCTACAACCATCTGATCTTTGACAAACCCAACAAAAACAAGCAATGGTGAAAGGACTCCATGTTTAATAAATGTTGTTGGGAAAACTGGCAAGCAATATGCAGAAAGCAGAAACTGGACCCCTACCTGTCACCTTACACTAAAATTAACTCCAGATAGATCAAAGATTTAAACATAAAACCTAACACTGCCATTCTAACTGGCATGAGATGGTATCTCAATGTAGTTTTGATTTGCATTTCTCTAATGATAAGTGATGATGAGCATTTTTTCATATACACCATGGAATATTATGCAGCCATCAAAAACAATGAGTTTGTGTCCTTTGTAGGGACATGGATAAACCTGGAGACCATCATTCTCAGCAAACTGACACAAGAACAGAAAATGAAATACCGCATGTTCTCACTCATAGGTGGGTGTTGAACAATGAGAACACATGGACACAGGGAGGGGAGCACTACACACTGGGGTCTGCTGAGGGGAATAGGGGAGGGACAGTGGGAGGTGGGGAGTTGGGGAGAGATAGCATGGGGAGAAATGCCAGATATAGTGAAGGGGAGGAAGGCAGCAAATCACACTGCCAAGTGTGTACCTATGTAACTTCACATGTACCCCAAAACCTAGAATGTAATTAAAAAAAAAAAAACCTAACACCATAAAAACACTAGAAGAAAATGTAGGTAAAACCATCCAGGACATAGGCATGGGCAAGGACTTCATGACTAAAACACCAAAAGCAATGGCAATAAAAACCAGAATAGACAAATGGGATCTAATTAAACTCCAGAGCTTCTGTACAGCAAAAACAAAACAAAACCATTATTTGAGTGAATCAGCAACCAACAGAATGGGAAAAATTTTTGCAATCTACCCATCTGACAAAGGGCTAATATCCAGAATCTACAAAGAGCTAATACAGATATACAAGAAAAAAACAAACAACCCCATTCAAAAGTGGGCAAAGGATATGAACAGACACTTTTCAAAAGAAGAAATATATGAAGCCAACAAACTTATAAAAAAAATGCTCATCATCACTGGTCATTAGAGAAATGCAAATCAAAACCACAATGAGAAATCATCTCACGCCAGTTAGAATGGCGATCATTAAAAAATTGGAAGACAACAGATGCTGGAGAGGATGTGGAGAAATTGGAACACTCTTACACAGTTGGTGGGAGTGTAAATTAGTTCAACCATTGTGGAAGACAGTAGTGATTTCTCAAGAATCTAGAAATAGAAATTCCATTTGATCCAGCAATCCCACTACACCCAAAGAACTATAAATCGTTCTACTATAAAGACACATGCACAGGTATGTTCATTGCAGCCCTGCGTACAATAGCAAAGAATTGGAACCAACCCAAATGCCCATCAATGATAGACTGGACAAAGAAAATGTGGTACATATACACCATGGAATACTATGCAGCCATAAAAAACAATGAGTTCGTGTCCTTTGTAGGGACTTGGATGAATCTGGAAACCATCATTCTCAGCAAATTGACACAAGAACAGAAAATAAAACACTGCATGTTCTCACTTATAGATGGGTGCTGAACAATGAGAACACGTGGACTCAGGGAGAGGAGCATCACACACAGGGGACAGTTGTGTGGCGGGTAGGGGAGAGACAATGGGGGTTGGGGAGGGATGGGAAGGTGGGGAGCGATACCATGGAGAGAAATGCCAGATATAGTATGCACCTAAAGTAAAATAAGTAAATTAAAAAATATATATACTGTCCTAGGCCGGGCATGGTGGATTACGCCTGTAATTCCAGAACTCTGGGAGGCTGAGGTGGGTGGATCACTTGAGGTCAGGAGTTTGAGACGAGCCTGGCCAACATGGTGAAGCCCTGTCTCTACTAAAATACAAGAATTAGCCAGGCATGGTGGCAGGCCCCTGTAATCCTAGCTACTCGGGGGGCTGAGGCACGAGGATCACTTGAACCCTGGAGGCAGAGGTTGCAGTGAGCTGAGATGGTGCCATTGCACTCCAGCCTGGGCGACAGAGTGAGACTTCATCTCAAAAAAAAAAAAAAAAACCCTGTATCTATATCTGTCTCTCTATATTTCTATATATAGGCATCTATCTGTAT